ATTGACAGGGATCTTGCCATCGGTGTCAACTGGACTTTAGTTCAGGCTCCAGCTGCTCACTAGGCCTCAACATGGCTGCCCGCAGGAAGTCGATCTCAACCAGCCTTGCTGGATGAGTTCCCAGGGGAACCAATCCACAAAAATACGTCACCCGCATGGCTCCCATTTCAATGAATGTGTTTGTATGGATGATGTCGTATGGGAGTTCCTAGCGGATCGCGGCAGCATTTGCCTCCCCAGTAAGCACACTCGGTGCTTAATGGACAATAACTTATGGGGTCCAAGAGACAGTTGGCAAAAATTGTCAAAAAGATTTGCGCAAAGGAACAGATCTTCATGGTGGCTAGTTTTTAGGAACTGAGGTGATGCACAACTGCAATCTCTCCTGTTTCCATTCCTGTCACTGGCCACCCCTTGGGGGGGGGGAAGCTCACAAAATTCTTATGGGGCCATTTTTATGCCCTTCTCAAAAACACGTTCCTTCAAGGGCCAAGACATCCTCTTCCCATATAAATAAAGGCTACCCCGGTGCACAGCCTGAAACGCCTTCTCCCGACTGCCTCACAAGGCCAAGGGTTTGTGTATGGGGGCACAGGTGTGTGGGTGGGTGTGTCTATACAAGTTAGCCTCCATTTCCAACCCCCCCCAGGAGCCGAAGAGAAAACAGACACAACAACAAAAAAGCAACCCCCCCGCACACATTTAGCAAAATGACAAGACTATTATTTTTCACAGTTTGAAATTATAATTGAGAGATGTTACATTGAAGACTGCATACATATGAGAGTATTATATCAAAACGTGGCTCCATTTTGCTTAGGCCGGACTGCAGTCTCCCCCACCGTAACCTCCTCCCTTTCCTTTGGCCCCTCATTTCCTTAGCTCAAAGGAATGCTATATTCTCACATTCAATTTTGCAGGCTTACATTTTATTTTTAAAGGCTACGCTTCCGGTTGAGAACGGCCGCGTTCTCTTCATGTTTACATTTCCTGAATCGAGGGTTCATTTGGATTCTTCTCAGTCACCTGAACTATTCCCACTATGCCTTCCACATCCGAACTATGTTGATTTTTTTTTCTTATTATTTTAAAAATTTAGATACTATGACAAAAACACATTTCACACTAAGATATTCACGCACCCACAGTGCACAAGCTTGCAGATCTAATGAAATTGTTTTAAAAAAAAAAAAGGAAAAAAAATATTCTATACAAAGGGCTGGTCTCTCCCACCGGCCTTATCCTTTCCCCCACACTCCAAATTTGTGTTGATTTCCCTGTAGTGGAGACACAGCCTGATCGCAAGAGTGCTGGGAATTTTTTTTGTTAATTCCAGGTTTGGTCCTGCACAGAAAAGGAGACTCATCTCACACAGACATACACACGAGTAGTGGGATTACTCCAAAGGGTAAATAGTGCTCCGACTCATCAACTTCAGGAGTTCCAAAATCCTTGCAAGATCAAGCCTGGTTTGATCAAATCTGATCTGATGATCAGACTTGGCTTGTTTGTTTCTTAAACACAACAGAAGGTTTCCTATCAACTTGGAAGAGATGGTGGTGTCCAAATCTTCGGTCTTTTATAGGATGGGCAGAGGGGGGGGGCACCACTTTAACCCTTCAGCCCATTGGTGAATTTCACCCCATTTGGACCTAAAGAGATGGTGGTGTCCAAATCTTCGGTCGTTTATAGGGTGGGCAGAGGAGGGGGGGGCACCACTTTAACCCTTCAGTCCATTGGTGAATTTCACCCCATTTGGACCGAAAACTACAGCCCTGATCCAGAGGCTTTGGTGCACACAGCATGCTCTGAATTAGAACAGCCATGTTCAGTCCCACACATAAGAGGGGTACAAAGCTTTGTGTCTGGAAGGGGTCCATGAAAACCTTTCCTGTGCAAGGTGAGTTCATTTCAATTAAGTTGTCAAGGGTCTCCTTGACAACTCCAAAACGAACAACTCCGCCCCCCCAAAATCAGTGCTTGGTCTTTCCCCCGCCTCCCTCCCAGGCCAAATCATTTAGGGGGTAAACTTATGTTGCTGCTGTTGTTTTTAAATCTAAGACTGTGTAGGCTGAAAGAAAACCATCGTTATGGTAATATACATTTTACTAAGGGAGGGTAGGCTGTTTTTTAAAAAACTTATTACTGAGACCAGCCCTGACTGTACAACCTCCCCTTCGGCTTCACCAAGCATCGGGAAGGATTCTCGGAGAGGACAGAAGAGAATATCTTAGGAGCAAAACAACAACAAAGAACTTATCTCCTGTATGCATTTTGGATCCTGACCCAGTCCCAAACATCGAGCAGGGGCTTACGTTTAAGCCAGTGACCGTCCCAAAGGGTAAAATGTTCAACAGCGCACAGAGACACACAACTCAGCACGAAGCAGGCCTCTGCTCTTGCAAACGGCCGGGCACAATAAAGCAAAGAACACTGACGCAAGAACCTGGATCTAACCACACTGAATTTGATCAGACGACACATGGACACAGCCCTATGAAAGTCCCACTGGATTGAATGGGGATTACTCAAGGCCACATTGATGTTTCTGTGTGACACCCCCGCCCCCCAAAAAATCAGGGCTCATGCAGGAAAACATTTGCACAGGATGGGAATTCATGGGCCTCTTTGGACAGAAGGCTCCCTGCAATGTAGCTTTGGCCATGAACTGCTTTGCGCGCTCTGGGTAGACACCCCCTCACACTGCAGCAGCCTACAGTCGGGGGCAGACAATTTTATTTTGAAACGTGATCCTAATGATGGGTGGAAAATGAGACTGCACTGATGTTTCCCAGGATGGGAATTGGTTTTAGAAATCTTCAGCAATGTGCACTTCCTCTCCCGGTGCATGCCTCTTGGAAATAATTCACCAGACTTATGCAAAAAAACATACTTTGTCATTTTGTCTGATTTGCAAGGTATCTTTTTTTTGCCTCCAAGACAGGGCTGTAAACCCTGGATTAATCCTAGCAAGCAGTGCACTTTCTGTGAATGCAGCCTGGCCCACCACATCCTGGAAGTGTTACCAATATCAAGAGTCTTTTGAAGACTTTGAAAAGTATGCTCATGACATCATAAATTGAATCCCAAGGGGTAATCTGGAATGTTGCATAGGTCTTACGAAGGCTCCTCTGCTGGCAGAGGTGGGGGCATTTGAGGACTACCCTGTGGAATTCAAATTGAGCGAGGATGTGGTCAAGCAAGGATTTCCTGTCAGGTTGAAGCATTCCCGAGACCAATTCCTGTACCACCAACCCCCCCCTCCCCCAGAATTTTACTGGAGAAACCCAGTATTCATTCTCTGCAACTGAGTTTGCAGCACTCGCAAACACTGCTAGCTTGAAAAGAACAACTCACTCATTCAAAGCCAAGGACTTCCGGATCTCATCTCTCTCCCCACCAACATGAACATGGAGGCCTGCGCAACACTTCCTGCATTGCTGAGGAGTGCAAACCATGTGAGCGAGGAAAGAGAACAGGGCGGCTTCTCCTTGCACAGAGCCCAGATATATGAGGGTCCTCGCGTGTGCAACAGAGGAGCCAATCACAGGAGAGGGTCAGTTTTCAGTATGAGAAGAGGTTGGCCATGATCAGCCAAAGTTAAAATGAAGGCCGTGGATTGCAACTGGCCTGTTATGTGCCCGATGTCTCCCACTTAAACTGATGGGACTTTAAACAACCTTAACTTTGGCTGGTTCTTGATGACCTTTGTGTGGATTGCGCTGCTGCTGTTTTTCAAGAATTTACCCTTCCGTTTAGCAGCTCACGTGCTTAAAGTTAAAATCCTGCTTATGAAGAAACTACCGAACCACAGCGTCGGGCTCGTCTGTGTAAAAAAGGACAAGAAAAGAGGGATTCGCTTCACTTCTTACTCCAGTAAGAAATTAATAATAATAATAATAATAATAATAATTAAAAATGGGGGAAAAAGATAAAAGGGGAAACAGCTACTGTAAACATCCATTTTTTAAAACATCTCCCCCTTTGCAAAGCACGCATGCTGGGCAACCTAAAATCTATATAGCCTGTATTTTCTTTTTCTCTTTTTTTAAAAAAGGCAGCTATTTTACATAGACATTTAAACACAACAAAAGTCTTTAAAAACGTTTTGTCGCTTGTAAACACTGGAAGAAAACAAAAAGTTGGCAAAACAAATTTTAAAACAAAACAGAAAAAAAAACAATAAA